TATATATCTACATACATACATATATCACCTTTTCACCTTTTCACTTCGTCACCGTAAACAGTATGTGTCAATTACCATAGAATAAGTCTCCTTGATATCGCATATAAGGTCTTTTCGAACGTATGGTGTGAAATGCTAAAGCCCCTCGTCAACAAACTGATTGCTCCTCAAAAGTATAGCTTAGTAAATCAACCGCTGACCATATATTCATCATGCGTCAAATCTTGATTTAAAAAAAAAAAGCAACAATAAAAGTTCCAGCAGGATCTCTCGACGAATGAAAACCAAACTCTACAACTTGCTCATCATACACGTCCTAGTGCAGAAGCATGGACGATATCAACATCTGATAAGTCTTCGGAAGAAATGTTTTGCATAAGCTGGGAATAACGATATTGACATAGTTAAGCGAATCAAGAAACAGCGGCTGTGCTGGCTAGATCAGGCCTTTTCGGATTGAAAGGCTCGATATCAATTCGAACAGGTCTTAAACGAAAAACTTGCTTTCCCACAATGTTTTCGATGTGCATACTCTCAGAGGTTATTCCGTTGTCTCTCAACTAACTTTTTAAAAGATAGTCATGGTCATAACTTCTATGGGAAGATGCTCCCGACTATAAAGTGGTATCGCCATAAAATAATATAAACTAATAATAGAACGTGGCGGGTACAGCTGGCATATCAGAACAGCCTTAAGCTCACTCTACATCTCGATAATATAGTGGGCCGGCCTCAGGAATATTTACAGCAAATCAGAAATATAACGAATCAGAGTTAAAACCATGTCCGCTTGGACCGATAAGGAAAAAGCTTCATTTACAATTCGACCAAATAACTTAAAACAGGATTAAATATAAATGCAACTGTAAGATAATGAAGCAGATTTGACCAAGATATGAGAGACTAACTACGAAGGGCCCTCGAAATAGGCCTGGAAAGTGAGTAGAATTACAGTCAGAATAGCATCACATTGGTTAAACAACTTAACAGCCGAAGCAGCAGCTGGTGTTCATCTCTCTGACATATTTGACATAGAAAACCGTGAACGGCTTCCCACAAAAGGCATTTCGTTCATACGAGTATGAAGTTTCATTGTGGCTGGAGTGCAACGATGTAATGTGGTAGCAGGATATTAGTGCTATGCTGGCCCTTGGCTAAAAATGTCTCACTGGAAGATAGAGCCTTTTCAAGATCGTATATAAGATCCTACTTGGCGTACTGTGAGCAAAATTTTAAGCCCAGAGCGAGAGAAGAGAGAGAGAAGAGAGAGTGATAGGAGGGGTGAGAAGAGAGAAAGAAAGAGAGAGAAAGGAAGAAAGAGGGAGAGAGAGAGATAGGAGGAATGAGAAGAGAGGGAGAGATAGAAAGAGAGAGAGAAAGAATGAGAGAGAGGGAGAGAGGGAGAGAAAGAATGAGAGAGAGGGAGAGAGGGAGAGAAAGAATGAGAGAGAGGGGGTGAGAGTTTCCGAAAAATTTTACTGTTCCTTGTGTACCAGAGATACATAGACGAAGCCAAAACAGTAATGAATTGGATTAGGTATTATATAATATACAATAAAACCTATACTATTATTAGGTATAGGAAAATATAATTCACTATTTTTGCATAAAATTTGATGGTTTAATATTTTTCTTTGTTCAGTTTTTTGTGCTCTTGGGCAATAGAAGCAGCGCTTAAGTGACGGTCGGACTCGACAACTCGACGTCGTGAAGCATTTTTACATCGAAATTACCGGAATTAAACCGAAATTCTGCATGATTGACTGTAACAGTATGAGGACCACAAAACGCTGTACACATTTTCAGACGCCTGGTTTGCGTTTTCGCCTTTATCGAAGAAAAACTGTAAAATATAGCGTAGTCTTTTTGCTAGTGTGCATCTTTGGCGCACGCTCAAACAAAACTGAACCTCTCAATCACAGAACTGTCAAAAAATCGTTTTTAGCATGAAATGTCGTCTTTCTAACGCCATCCAGCGAAGCCTTATCGGACTTATGCACCGCGAGATACAGATAAATAGCGCCATCTATTGGAAAAGTAATGGATCACTTTTTACTACACCTAATATTAGGAGCACATTACGATCTAGTGATATGCTAGCTAGATCATATCGTCTGGTTGAATGAAAACCTTTCTGCTGCGAAAATTTTCAATGCAGGACCCACCAGAAGAGGTCGAGCTTAACTCAAGACGAAGAGCTCCCTTTAAAGGTGTAGTGTAGAAAGATCAGGATTTACTTGGTAAGCCCCAATTAGCCCTGTATGGCTAATAGAAGAAACTGCTGGCGCGCTATTGTTATTGGATATAATCTCCTAAGTAGTGTCTACCTCAAATTAGAATAAAAATCTTCTTCCATAATTCCTTACGGTATATTAGAATACTGTGTCCTTTTAAAATACTCTTCATGAGCTGCACCTCAAGGGAAGTGTTCATAATTGCCAATAATTCGATTTTCACATATTCTTCCTTCACGCGCATACACGTAGAAACAACAATAAAGCACAATTCATGCCACAAAGCTCATTATAAACGCTGCATCTCCTTGAGCTTATTGACACATTAGGAGTAAAAGTTAAAAGAAACATAACGCTAATGTCCTTACACTCCCTAAGGCGTCATACGGGGGCATGCAACATGTGGCAGTCATCAAAGGAAAAAATTATAGCAAAGAGCAAAGCATAATTCTCATTTTGTACTGTGCAATGCTATTAAAAGTCACTTCACTGCAACAGCAACGACACACAAGGACATGCATCCTTGTCAATGCACGTTGAGCTGACAGGGAGTGTGTTAAGCACTCAAATGCAAACGCAAATGTCAAGCGCGCTTTCAAAGCAAATATGTTGCAACAAGAGTAAGATACAAAAAATCAACAGTCTGGCAGGAGAAATTTTGCTGCAGTGCCTGTGGGTACCGCGTTTGACTCCTGTTGACTGCAGCGCAGTGGCAAGTGAGTGATTGGTTAGGGTAATTCGCGTTGTGCGCGTCATGCTGGCGCAGGTTGGGCTGGTAGGTGCCACGTTGTCCATGCAACAGGATGATGTAGATTTTTTATTGCATTCTTTTTAGCTTCAGCATAGCCTGCATGCATGGATGTGTGCAAATATGCTTGTGTATTTAAGTTTAGGTTGCGCAAAAGTTATGACTGAATCCACCAACTTCCTGGCGTTCAGTGACTTGGAAACGAGATGTCAACTCAACACCACAGATGTGCTCATGCATCGCACATCGCACATCGGCGTATTTGATTATTAAGGATTTCCGCTTGTTTTCACATAGTTGATGTGTACTTTGAGTACTTTTATGCTTTCCCATTTTATCTGCGCTCCTTGAAGTATTAACATTTACATAACTTGTTGCATGTGCAGCTCTTTCCTTTTGTCAAATGACTTTGTAGGCTCCACTTCTGGTCGGATAGTAGCAAGGTATGGCCAAATGTATGAGAGCACCACAGAGAAAATGACGACATACAAAAGTTAAAGGGGTGTTGAAGGACATAGTTTTCTTCAGGGGATAATGGGAAAGAAGAATTCCTCTAGGAAGAGGACACTAGAACGAGAAATCCTCGTAAATAAAATATGTATTTGCTGTTGGTAAGGGTAAAAGCTGCTAGTGTACGCGGATGATATCGAAATTAGCAGCAACCCCGCCATGAGTTCGACTTACCCCAGCCTTGATAAGAAAGCGAAGGGCAGGAGGAAATATCCCCAGGCATCAAACCAACAGTCATTGCATTTCGAGACTCGGCTCCCACGTCACTATTGACAGTCATAACTTTAAAGTCGTTGATAAGATCATCTATCTTGGCACCATTATTAGCAACAACAGCAGGTGCTTTTTTGGACAGAGAACGAGAACGAAGAAAACTCTAAAAGTCGGTTATCGTTCCCGCACTGCTATAAGGGGCGGAGATATGGAAGATGGCAACATCTGGTGAGTCGGCGTTAAGAGTTTTCGAGAGAAAGGATGGATACGAATATTCCAACTTTAAAAGTTTGCGACTCAGTAGCTGCCGGTGGACCAGTGTGAAAGGAAGACCTCCACCCCATTGACCAGTCCGGGTAGAGAAGAACCTGACTGTACTTGATTTTTCCCGTTTCCGACAAACAGCAAAATGATGCAAAGAATGGCGCATTGTTGTTGGCTTGGCAATAATCACATAGGCGGTGTCTACGTCAGTGAAGTAAAAGATCGGTAAGGCTTCAAATCCAGTTATAGAGTAACATACAGCTTCTGCGGGCTCCGATCTATTTTGTTTGCAGATCTCTTCAGCAGATTACTATGCAGAAAACACTGCTGCTCGATCTATCTTTGGAACGCCTTTACTGTATCGAAGAAGATCAAATTGTTTATATTCTATGAAAGAAGAGGCATTTCAAAGGAAATTGATATCCTGGGAGCACGTTGATTTTCTGGAGAGCTGCAGTAATGAGAAGGCGGCAGACAGGGCTTTCCATCTGTAATAAAAATACCCAGCGTTAAGCAAGAATAGACTTCGTCGTTTTGAGTCACCTTTTTGGATAGCTTTTGCCGTACCGAGGAAACGGACGTTAGTGACCTAATAAAATTTAAAAAGGGAGCTCAAGTTTCTGAAGAGGAGCCGTAGGATCAGATCAGATTTCGAGATATCATAGTGGGTCTACATTGACCTAGGTGTGTGGTGTTGGTGAACGCATCTTAGCAATTGAAACTTTAGGATAGACCAAGGGCTCAAGCCTAGAAATAAAACAAAATTATTTCCCTTTCCCTCCTTGATATAGACCTTTAAATGTAGAGAAACTTGTCGCCTCTTATCCTTCCAATATAGGGAGCAAAAAAGAAAAAAAAGAACCAAAGCTTTAAGGGCTTAATCCATCAATGCATGAAGGGAAGCCAGAATCTAAGTATTTCAATTCAGTCTCAGAAGCACAAGTCACACTTTTTCAGCAACCCTTGGTTTTGTTCAATTAAAGTTTAAAGAAAAATATCTCCAAAATAACTAACTACAATTAACTACTCACTGTGCGGTGGCGTTAGCGTTAAAGCTGATGACATACCCGGAAATGGTAGCGGTGAGGATGGATGTGGTGGTCCATCCGTTGGATTGAAGTGTGGCGGCAAGCTCATAGGTGAAGTTGGATCAAATTCTTTGCTCAACCGATTCATGCTCTCCTCCAAACGTTCATGTGGCGCTGGTCCACCAGGTCCGACGGGCGGACCGAATGGCGGCATACCGGCCATGCCCATTTGGCCCAATATGCTATTCGCATAGGCATTTTGTTGTTCCTGGAATTCACGTTGTTCCCTTTGTAACGCATGATCGCGTTCCCGTGACTGTTGATGTGAAACAGCGGCAGCTGCTGCGGCGGCCGCTAATGATAAATCCATCTGATGTTCCATAAGTTGAAAGGGATTTTCACCATTTACTGCTGCTGCCGCTGCTGCGGATGCCGCAGCATGCATCTGCGCCTCCAAAGCATCTATTTTGCATTGATTTTCGGCCGCCGTGCTGACGGCACGATCGAGGCGCAGATCGCGTAGGCTGGCCGTCGCAAAAGGGTGCATGTTGTTCGCTGAGTTGTGTGCAGAGGAGGATGAGGGTTTGTTCAGTTGTCGTATATCTTTTAGGGACAACACAATTCGATTGTTGTTGTTCAGTTTATTGTTGTTATTATTATTATTCGCAGGAGTGTTGTCAGTGTCGTTAGCAGATTTGCTACCTCCCGTCTCGTTTTGATCCTTTTTCGTTGTACAGAGATCCTCTGGACCTTCCGATAGATTAGACAAGGATTTGCGACGCAACTCATTGGTGGCGTTAATGAGTTCTTCAATGTCTTCAGCATCTGGAATTGGCTCAACATCGTCATTACCATTTTCATGCTCGTTTTCATTTTCATCATCTTGCTCCTCGTCGTCTATGTCCATTGAGTGTGTGGAGTGTGCTGCATTTAGTGGAGTTGCAGGTGAGGGTGTCTCAACCATGCCGCAGCTCTGTTGTTGCTCCTCACTCGGTTGGTACTCATTTGACGACTTTTCTTGTGATTCGTTGTTCTCGTGACTGTCATTTGCGTTACCACTGCCGTCTCGACGTGCACCTTCATCTTCGTCCACGGGCTCGGCTAGCTCAGTTTTGATCACAGTTTTCAAAGCCTCTATGCTATCAGCCTGTGCTTTCTCCAGCTGTTCTTCCAGCGTCAGAGGCAGTGGCTGGGTTTGTGGTGATTCCTTAATAGGTGCGGTTGCTGGCGCAGGCGGAACTGGTTCGTTAATCATTTCCAGTGGCAGGTCGCCGGAGCGTCGACGTGGCCGTGCTTGCTTACGTCTCGGCATAGGAGACGTGCACATATCTGAGTTGATGCTTGTGTCAAGTGGCAGGTCTTGATCGCTTTCTATTTCGCGCTCCAATTCACGCTCGAGTGCGCGTTCACGCTTGCGCTCACGTTCACGCTCCCGACGTGCTGATGAGCCAAAAAGCCTAGATGGTAGTATGACCTTTGAGCCTGCAGTCACCATCGAAGGTGATTCTTCGTCGAAACTAGAGCAACGCTCCAGCTCAGGCGACATCAAAGATGTGTCGATCATGCCAAAATCATCTGGCGAGGCAGCTGGCGTCGGTGTATGCTCCGGCACAGAGCTTTCAACTAAACCACGCACTTGAAGTGATTCGCCTGCTTGTATGAGTGTTTGTAGTCGCTCCTGTTGCACACTAATCTCACCGCGATACATAAAATCCACAATCGCTTGCACCACCCAGCCCTGGAAGTCTTTCAAAACGATAACGGGATGCTTGCAAGGTGTTTCGGCGAAGACGCGTTGAAAGAAAGGCGAACACGCCGACAACACCATTTTATGCGCATGTATGCTCGTCTCAGCGCACACCAGTGTCACATCCACCAAAGTCTTGGTCTGCAAGAGCGCATCGAATGCACGCAGTATGTGATTCTGATGATTATTCCAACGCAGGCTGTAATGATCTTGTAGTGGAGCAGCAATGGCGTTCGTAGTAGCGGGGGCGGTGGTTATGAGGGCGGACGTTGTGGATGCATTAGTGCCAGCAGCGGCGACAGCAGCTACCGCTGCGGCTGCCGCGGCCGCAATTGCCGCTGCTGCTGTAGCGCTACTCGCCGAGGCGTTCTGTTGGCTAGCGCTCAATAATGAGCCACTCGGTGTGTCGGTCGTGTGCGTGGGTGCTGAACTAGCCGCGGTCAAAGTACACGTTGTATTGTTGTTACCCATGTTGCAAGTACTGCTGGCGCTACCGTGACCGATTAGACTACTAGCGCTGCAGCTACTGCTGCTGTGATTGCGAGCTGTGGTCATCATCATGTTGAGCGGTGGCGTGGGCGGTGTGATTGGCGGTGTGGTGGCAACCGAGTCGTTTTCCATGGACGTCGGTGTTGTTGCAATGGACGCTGTATTGTGCGAATGCGACACCGATGATTTGCGTCTCTTAACCCCGTGCATTGGTTCCATTAACATTCAGTCAGGAAAATCAATGCTTACTGACACGTGAAATCTGCTTGTGTGTGTGCGTGTGTGTGCGCGTGTGTGGTGTTGATGTTACGTGCTCCACCCACACGTTACTGTCACATAAAGCTTTAAAAAATCTAATGAGCCTCTTTTCGGCTGTGATTGCGAGTTTTCGTGGTCGTTGTTGTTGTTGTTACTGCTGTTGTTTTTGCTCGTTTTGTTTGTATTTAGTTAGCACTGTCTTTGTTTACTCAACGGAGAGCTTTCCGTCTTTCTGCTTCCATGTCTGCTTGTCTTGTCGAGTCAGCTGTTTGTCTGCTGATTTGAATTCGGAACTGTCGCCGTGTCTGAAATGAGATAAAGACAAAAGATAAACATGAGTGGTATGAAGACGCTCTATATTTTTTTCTACTTTTTAATAAAGCACATACATATACGTATGTTTTATTATTTTTATTTCAACTTTAGTCGTTCACACCTGCCTCCTCTTCCTAGCCAAGACTACCCAAGACAATGCGTCTAAAGCCCAAGGATATGCGTCGCTTATTCACATGAATTTTGGGCTTAGTTCTCAAAGACGAGTCTGGTTTCAGTTCACGTTTGCGTGTGTGTATGTAATTATATATGCGTAAATATGTTGTGCGCGTCTTAAAGCATTCTTGACATATGCTATGTGTGATAATATGTTAATGAGTTTCGGCATATATCATTTTAATGTCTTCGTTTGGCTGTCAAAGCCGAATATTTCGCAGCATTCAACATTTGAGGATACCCTCAAAAGGAAAAAAAATCGAGCAGGTGAGAATTTTTTGGTGCGGCATTGACGACAATACGAGAGACCTACCGGAGCAATAGTGAGCAAAACGGTGAAACTGCTCTTCGACTTAGAATTTATTTAAAATACCTTATGCAATAATTTTGTTGACACACTGACACACAGAGCCGCCAACGAAACTATGCATCCTTTTACATGCATCAAGTCTTGAAGGCGATTTGCTGTACTTGTCTGTACCGAACTAGCAGACTTGATAACAAGACTTGACGCATGTGAAAAGAGACTATTCGTTTTCGATAAGAAGAAATGGTAGAAAAATTGCCTTACCGCTGTATGAGAAAGTTATCGAGAGTTGAAGAGAGAAGTGAGGCGAATTCGCAGCCAGAAAACGAAAGAGTATGAAGAAAGAGGTATGAAGAGCTTGAGACGATGACCGACGAGCAATAGTCCTCGAAAAATCTATGCGGAACAGCGACTACTTTCCTTCAGAACAGTGAATCAAAGAGCCAATTTGTTAACTGATGCCCAGAGTATACCGAGTTGTTAGAGAGAACATTTCTCCAACCTGCTAAATGGCACTGAAAATGAATGAATGAATGCAATTTACCACAATAAAAACGAAAATATGGACTGGTCGATAGTCCAGTGGTTAAACTCATTAAAAACTGAAGGCAAAGAGTTCACTAAAGGCATGTTTCTTGCTAAATTTGATCGGATGAATGCATGCTTGACGATTGAAACCTTAGCTCTGTCTAGTACACAAAAAAGGCGATATCACAATCAATAGTAATTACAGTTGGATAAGCCCTCTCAATATCTTATATAAGCCCTTATCGAATGTATTGTATGAGAGATTAAAGTCCATCGGCAACTGACTGATTGAATTGAAACATAAAGTCCTCTCTCGATGAATTTGAACTCTCTGGCATACAGAATTCTCTTGCTTTATAATGCCGAAGCATGCCCAATGAGTCGGCACTAGGAATTTTCGATAGAAAAATTTTGTGTACGATTTATGAACCTCTTAGTATGTGCGATGGTGAAAATCGGAGACGGGCACAAAGTTCAGTGAATGAAGAAACAGCGGATAGACCGCTTGGACATGAAGTACCCGCCGGTGAAAGTAGAGGAAGAGGACAACCCCTCCACTCCGTTGAAGAGATACGGTGGAAAAGAACATAGAGTGTCGCTTAATGTGTCCAATTCACGCTGAAGGCATAAAATGCCTCCTAAAATGTTAGACAAGTTTTTAAGAGGTGTATATTTTAGCGGCCGAAAATCGCTTCAGCGGTTACAAAGCGCCAATTATATATGTATAAGTATTTTAACGGTTGCGGTAGCCGAGTGATTAGCATTGCGTACTTCTGGTGTCGTTCAAACATCCAAAAAGTTATAGAAAACTTATATAAATAAAAAATTAAGTTAATTTTTCTAATTACGGTCGCCCATCGGCAGGGATTGCCGACCCCTCCGAAAGTATTTCTGACATGAAATAAAGCTCTTCATAAAAAGAATCATCAGCCGTTCGGAGACAGCTTAGAATAAACTGTAGGTCCCTCAACTTCATCAGTTTAATAAACGTATCCACCTGAAAAATGGTTCCGTAGGTAAAACTCTTCTCCTCAAAAGATATCGGGCGTAATAGAAAGGTGAATCTGAAATGTAGTGAGTTCAAGTTCAGTTAAATAACACCTGTCTTGCCGTCGTTGTCTGAGTGTCCAAAGATTAAGCTGAAGGGACATTACCAGAGGAACCCTAACTAAGAGCGAGCAGATAATAACAATTTTTGCTGATTAAATAAGAGGTCCGGGGCTCAAAGTAGACGTTCGATAGTTTTCTTTCATCAAAATATATTTACATTAAAATATTCTTAACGAACATAACTCACTGAGTGTAGCGCAGCTTGAGATATCAGAAGAAAAAAAAACGTCATGCGTGTATACAAAAGTTGCAATCTCAGCTACGTGCCGCTGTGCATATCCTTCAGGATATGACTAAACACACTGTGCCGTCTTTATAGCGTAACAATTTTTTTTGTTTCGGTGTAATTTTAAATGAATGAATACACATAGATACATGTGTAAGGCGGAAAAAATCACATTCATTGATATGCATATATGTATGCATGTACATGTAAATTTTATATAAATATAAACACATATGTACGTATGTATATGTACAAAATTAATGTGTGATAATAGCTGATGTAGGCGCTTTATTTGTATTTCCTAACTGTATATATTCGCTGCAGTGAGTTAAGAAGTTATTAAAAAGGTATTAATTTGATACTAGTACAAAATAGCACTAGTCCCTTAAACATCGAACGGGTACCAATTACCAAACTTTTTATTTTTATTGCTTTATGTTAAATAAATCTTTTCCATAATTTATAATTTGACTCAGCAGCACGAAAAGTTATACTATTTTAATACTTTATGGTAATTTTTTTAAAGGGTTTTTGCAAATATTTAGGCAAATATGTTATTAATCTGCCTAATCTATTCTTATTTTGTTTTTTTTTTAAACTATTTTTTAAATAGAAAAAATTCTGATTTGGGTGAAAAGTGAACTAGTAGCACTTCTGTTCTTTTTGAACTAGTATACGACTAGTATGTGTTTGACTAAAAATTGTCATTTTCCAATTAGTAAGACATGTCTTTAAGAAAAAAGCTGCTTGCTGATATTCGTACTTCTACTAATTAGGCTTGTTTTGTTTATATACCAAAACGGAAACATCCCTTAACTAGTCCAATTTTTTAAAAGTACACATTTTATTAATCTGCCTGTTAGTAATTTATTAATTTTTTTTATTTCCATGAATTCCTTTAAATAAATTTATTTGGGCGAAAAGTGAACTAGTAGCATTTCTGTTCTTTTTGAACTAGTATGTGACTAGTATGTTTTTGGACAAAATTGTCATTTTCCAACTAGTAAGACATTTATTTATGAAAAATGTTGCTTGCTTAGGTTTGTTTTGAAAATGGTGATTTCGATGTCGATGTCGAAGACAAACATGGTGGTGGAAGAGAAAAAATCTTCAAGGATTTACTACGAGCTCTTAAAACCGGGTGAAACCATCACAGGAGATCGCTACCGAACGCAACTGATACGCCTTAGTCGCGCGCTGAAAGAAAGGCGGTCACAATGCTCGGTCTCACGTCGCAAAAGTGGTCAAAAAGTACCTGGAAACGCTGAAATGGGAAGTCTTGCCCCACCCGCCATATTCCCCAGATGTCGCTCCTTCTGACTTCACCTATTCCGTTCGATGGCACACGGCCTGGCAGATCAACATTTTCAATCCTTCGAAGAATTGGAAAAATGGATTGCTTCATGGATAGCTTCAAAAGAGGACCTCTTTTTTCGAGCTGGGATCCGAAAATTGCCGGAAAGATGAGAGAAAGTTGTCGCTAGCGAGGACAATACTTTGAATAATATATCTGTAAGCACTTTTTCTCACTAAAGCTTTTAATTTTGGAAAAAACGGCGGAAGCAAAGTTGTACACCTGATACTAGTACCGAAAAAAACTGTAGCTAATGCAGTTGACCGCTGGGTGTACAACTAAAGTGACATTATCGGCGTTTGTCTCTGGTTTATGTTTGTTTCAGGCAAACACACTCGTACATACATACACTTGCCAAAATAAACATGTAGCCATGGCAAGGGAGCTGCGGGTGCTCATGAAAAAAATTACTTTTTTCTATACATTCAGTTGCATATGTACGTATGCATATACATATATGCATATATTTAAATGTTTTTTTTTTTTTTTTGTTTTTTTAGTAAAGTTTGTTTGTATTTTTGTTCAGCATCGTATGTATGAATTAATTAGAATCAACGTGTCTATGCATGCGTATTTTGACTTCTTTTCAGTCAATGTTGCGAGTCTCACTGTTTCCTTCCGCCCCTTCTCCCCTCTCCTCTCACTTTGAAGTACAGGTGAGATGCTGGCATGCTTCTCAGTTCAGTGTTTTATAAGAATGTCGATGCGTGCTGCTGCTTGTATGCGATTTGTGCGCATATATGGGTAGAGTTAAGCAGCAGGATATGCAAGGATATCATTAAAATTAAAAAAGTTTCATGCAGTTGATGAGAGCAAACTGTATACATACATACATAGTGCCTTAAAATACACATTTTAAGCTCACATGCACACATACACACACACACACACACACACACACACACACACACAAGTTTATTTCCGCTAGACAAAAAATATAATAAATCTGAAAGGAAAAAAGGTGCATAAAATGAGAAAATGAAATGCAGAAATGAAATGCTGAAAAGTGCTTTTACCTTCGTTAAGGCAGTGATTTTGCCGCGTCGCAGTAAACATTTTTATTTGCCTACTTCGCAAACGCCACATAAAAAACAAAAAAAAAAATATGTGTAAAACTAAAAAATAACTGTTTTTATTTCTCGTCTCCTTAGTTTGCTTACAGTTGAAACCAACAACCACAGACGGCACGAAGTGATGAAAATGAAAGAAAAAAATGCTTAAAAAGTAGGAAAATTGGTAGTAAGATTCCGTATCTCTCAGTCTATAAAATGATATAAGGAGTTGTGTGTTGGAAGCTTTTTCGGTGGAAAAACCACTTTGGAGTGTCAATACCACATCCTTACGCTCGGCTGCAACAATGTGCAATTAGTTCACGTTTTAAGTTAAATGCAGGTTAAATTTACATGCTGACATATGTACATATATATGTATATGAATACGCATGTATGTATAGACTTTATTTTTATTTTTATTTTGATTTTTATTTTTTCCGAAGTTTTCTTATGGTCTTTATTTACTTTTGTCTACGCTTTTAATTTTTATTTTGACTTTTTGCAAAACTAGCGGGAGTCGCAAATAATTTAAGTACATGAAATTGTTGTCATAATTTTCAATTTTAAATTTGATAAATTTAATATACGAATATAGCATAATTGAGCTCAATAGATATAGCTAGACAGCACATTTAGGCAGATTAGATTGCCACTTATGTAAAAAAGGTAAATAGCTAATTTTTCTACAAATAAATATGTACGAGTATATGTGTGTATGTATGGAAAAATATGAAGTTCAACAAAATCAGAATGAGCGATATAGAAAGAAAGAGGACGAAGAAGGAAGTGAGAGGTATTTGGTACTTTAGCTGAGTAAATTATGGTATGCACGAGTACATATATACGTAGATGACAGGTACTTTTATATATGAATCCATTTACACATATTTAGAGTGTGCCATACTAAAATTTTAGGTACAGAAAGTATACATATGTACATACATAATATTACAAAAAAAAAAAAGAACAATAACGAAGCGCTGCCTTAAAATGAGCCGAATTCTCTTCGATTGTCTTAGAAACTGAGAGGCCTGACCAGACTAATTGTTTATGTTTTTTTTTTCTAAATAACATGGCATTTACGAAGTACCGTAGCCCGAGTATAGTGAAAATTTCGCATTTCGCGCACAGGTTTTTCAAGGTCGTGTGTTTGAGTTTCAATCTCTTAACTGCAAAATCGCTTATTACGAGCTGCGTTCGATTTGTGCAATTTTCGCTGACCATCGAATATTGAAGATCGATTTTCAATAACAAGAATGATTAACTCAATGAAATGAAATCGTTTCGTTTCGGCGCCATATTATCAAAACGAAATGTATTCTTTAACGTTTAAGCCGCAAAAAGTCATTTAACATTATTTGCTAACGATTTAGCATTATCGAAAGCTTTTCATTTCGGATGAAAATGAAAACGATTTTTTTTTTGGGTTTTTAGTTTTGTGGAACTTTCTCAGACCATAAAGGTCCAAACTTGTGAGAAGAAAGCAGTAAATAAAAAGGTTCGATTATTTGAGAAAAAACCCTTTATTTTTCAAATAAATTTTACAAAGGTTCCAATGGCAATAAAAATACGAAGTTAGCAGTCGAAGCGAGCGCCAAATGATTTATCCTTCCGCCAAGTTCTATTAAATTTTCATTTTTCAGTGGTTACCACTTTTTCAAAAGTATTTTACAATATTTGCGTAAATTTGTAATAAATTCTAGTTAATTTTAGTTGAAACTATTTAATGCCTTTTACCTTAATTTACCCAAGTTCGAAAGAAATTGTATCAGGTGATGGCAACTCTATGCTATTTTGAATAGTGTAATATGGCTTTTCCACGGCATCGTGAAATACATTGTTCGTCTTGTCAATTACGAAGGCGAATTACCCCCATTCACACGGCACGCAGTTTGTTCCATTTGAAAACACATGGAAAATGAAAGTTTTTGTTGAAAGTTAATAAAGTATTGATTTGTGTTGGAAATTGGCATTACATTTTCTTTAATAATTTAAAATTTTCTTCTAATATATATACAAATAGTCTTTGGTTGCAAATAAATGATAGTGTGTTTGTGTTTTCTTTTATGATTCTCATCTCTTTTGTTTTGATTTCTCAGCTGGTTTCGATAAAATTTCGATAAAAATTTGAGAAGGCATCGATTTGGTCGTTATTCGCATGTCAATTGAGGGTGAATTACGATTGAGAGAGCGATACACGTAATTGGGATGTCGTGGAAATGTCGTATAAAATGAGCGTATTACATAATCAAAAGTGTGTCTTAGCACCAAATGAAAATTTCTTCAATAATTAATTAATTAATTCAAATAATCTGTACTAAAGTCGATATAAGAACATACCTAGCTCGCTTCTATAATACAGGTTTTCCACGGAATTGTGAATTACATTGTTCGTTCTTTCAATTATGAACACGAATTACCCCAATCACATAGTACGCAATTTGTAAGTTCTCTGACTCGCTGGTTTTTTGTTTTATTATTTGAAAACGAAGGAAGGAAATGAAAGATTATAGTAAAAGTAATAAAGCCTTGAATTGATTGGTGTAAGTGCTAGCAGGTGGAATCCGAGAAATAAAATTCATTCAAAATTCTGTTACCCTGCTCTGCTTTTAATTTGAACAAGTCAAATATCCGCCTGAACATTATAGTTTCTTTGATAATTTCCAATTTTTCGTTTTTCAAATAAATGTTTGCTTTTTAATATTTTTATTTACAGTTTTCATCATTTTTATTGTTTTGACTTTGCTGCTGGCTTTGATAAATTTCCTATAAATAAAAATAAAGAAGACAACAATTCGGTTGCAATTTGCATGAAATTGAATTGATTTCACATAAATGTTTGTTTTTAGTATTCTCATTTATAATTTTTATTAGTTTGCTATGATTTTGCAGCTGGCTTGATAGATTAGGTAGAAATTAAGGAAGACAACGTTTCGGTCGTAATTTGCATGTAATTGAATTAATTATTCACTTTGAGCATAATCCGCGCTCAAAAATTTGTATGGCGAATTAAATAATTCCGAAAGTATTTGGAGTGTGAACTACGATTGAGGGAACGAATAATACTACATACATAACTACATTTGCCATCCTTATCAACGCATAAAAACAACGATCGCTCAGCTTGTGATGTGCTTATGATTATCCGTGCATTTTTTTATGAAAATATAATAATACTTGGAAGTCAACTAATATTTGATGCTCACTAAAACTACCATTTATAAATATATGATTATTATGTATATTTTAATTATTTATATTTAATTTTTTTAATTATAGAAAATTGACACTAAATAATTTTCTGCCAAAAAGACATGATGTTCAGTGTACATACATATGTACTTTATATTCATTTTGTTTTAAAGACCGTAATATTTGTATGTACCGATGTAAATGCTGTTCCGCCAGGAAATAACTCAATTTAATTTAGATTTTTCGGAAAATAAGCTACAAATATTGTATTTTTTTTTTGGAACGGTATATATATTTTAATAATTTGTTTAAACAAAAAATGAATGTGTGTAAAGGAAATTGAATTCACATAAATCCAAAAATCTCATGAATTTTTTTGTTTAATCATAGAACCGAAATTCCAATACGAAATTCATCCAATGCACGGATTCTTTCGAAAAAATCATATTTATGATTCATTTTACATTAAATTTAGTACAAAGAAGCAGTTTGCCTTTATTAACAACGGAATCCGTTTCGCTTTCAAAAAGGACCTGGAATCGGTTCGATGTTACAGTTTTGCTTAATATTTGGAATATATAGGGTGTTTCATAAAGTACGCAGTTTTTAAAATGTGCGGTGTTTTTTTCGTTTGAAAATTATCAGCATTGTTCCTAACACTTTTGTTATCTATTTTCACTCCGATTAGAAGACCCCATGGAGAGGTCCAGTATCGAGCAACGCATTTTTAGTGTGAAAACTCATTACAACAACGGGGAGTGCTTTGCAGAGACTGTCCGTAAACTTCGTGCTATCTTTGGTCGTGACAATTCTGCCACCGCAATAATAGTTTTAAGGTTGGTACAGAAATTTGCATAATCTGGGTCAGTTGCAACCAGAAAACGATTACCGAACTGAAGAAGGAAATTCAACGGGTAATCGGTGAAATCGACAGGGATGCCTACAAAAGAGTTATCGTTAATTTCAACGATCGAATGGCTGCCTGTAGAGAAAGTGGAGGTGGACATATGCTCGATATCATTTTTCGTTATTAAATAAAATAAAAGTTTAATTAATAATTTAATGACATGAAACAAAAATTTTGAATTTCGCATCAATTTTGGCTGATTTTTAAAAACTACGTACTTTATCAAACTCCATTTACATAGTATTTATGGTTCGATTCATCTGTGACATAGATGGCTTTATGCCTAGAATAATATGTGGAACATTTTTCTTTCTTTTCATAGGTAGGCATAACTAGATTCAATTACCTGAGTAAATCTTTGCATGAAATTTCTGGAAAGTTTTGCCTAAGGGTTTAAATTGATAATGAAACTAACTGATATTACATTGAGCGCTTTAGGCCACTTTAGCTGAGTGTGAACTACGAAGTACGCGGAGGGCTCGTACTATTGCGAGACCAAAATTGTAATGTAGAATTATTGGAAATTATTTAAACAATTTATTCTACTAATAGCGAGGCTCTTCAAGAGCATTTTAGCATCAAGTATGAGGAGCTCTTAGGCTTATTAAATATATCAGCTGCCCAGAGGTGGCTTGGAAAAAAAGCTATTGTTTTTATTTATTACTTTATCAAGGGTTAATTGAACTCAATGCCAAGGGAAATAATAAATAGAGTAGAGTACCTGAGTGCCCTTAGGTGTCCTGTAACCAAATTAAATGAAAAGATTTAAATGTTTGAAATAAGTATTTAAAAACAGAAAAATTGTGGAGATACAATAGTTGCGTGGAGTTTAAAATATAGGATAATTGTACAAGGCAGGTTCCTTAGGGAAAGTGATGTGTAGATATAATGATGTTTTATTTGCACCCCAAACAAATATATAATCGTATAATTTATTGACATTTTCGAAATTTGTATTCAAATGTAATTCTTTTTGCCATTATTCCGAAAAAAATATTATTTTATTCATCTATTTACAACCAATATGTTAACACTTACATTTTAAAATACTCCTTAAATTTAATTTTCATTAAACTTTCTGCTTCAAGCTGTATTGCTGTAGCTTCTTCAAAAGTTGTTGAGCAATTAAATACGGCACTTTGTTTAATAGTAAAATTTTAATATTTTTTCGTTTCGTAATATCACTGTTCAGTTAAATATTTAGATAATATTTGTTGTTGTATTTTTAGGATTTTCATCCAACAATTATTGCACAATTTTTTTTGTTTTCCCTTTTTATATGTAATACGTCACATTTTTGTTGTTCTTGTTGATGTTTTGGTTTCACACAAATTCATTTATTATTTTTATGTTTCATTGTTTTATAATCCACATTCAAATGTATTTCATTTGACACTACAGAGAATATTCATAATAATTATTTAAAAAAAAATTATTCTTTTTTAATTAAATAACAACCAAAGGATGACATGTGACAGCATACGAGTGTGTATGTACACATGTGATGTTGCAGCGGCACTGAGCGACACGCTGACGTTGAAATCCTCACGGTGGCACTGACGACTACATAATTATGACAAGTGTCGGTTGAAAATAAATACAAACAATCATTTCCATGTAACCGGGTCCACAGGTAGAAATGTAAAACATACATAGCATATCAGCATACATATGAACACACACACACAATATCCTTGAGGCATGAGAGGGCATAGAAACAAGTAAATAAATATGATGAATGGCACTAATCACAAACGTGCATGTGTTGTGTTGAGAAACATATGTACATATGTATGAATGGAAAGACAAATAAACTAGAGATACCTACATATGTGTGTACGTATGTATAAAAGAAAAGAGAAGAAACTATAAGTATAAATACAAACATATATATATAAATATATATATATACATAAATATATGCACATATGTGAATGTGCGTAAGGTCATATATGATCGGCTAGTCTAGTGCCGTGTGTTGCCGTAGTTTGCTTGGTATAGCACTGATTACACAGGTGAGATACATACATATATACTATGTGCGTGAGTGTGTTTGTGTATGTGTGACCCAGCGTTGAGTTCACGTTTTGTTCGTAAATGCATTAGAGGCGGTGCCGTGCATAAATTCGATTTTGTTGGCTAGTCATCGACACACACATACATGTACATATAGCATGTGTAAATCGCCTTCAAGCATCACAAAAGTTGACCATTATAGCTGTAGAGCAGAAATCTATGTATGTACGTATGTACTGATGCCGTCTGTTGACAGATCAATCGTCACTTCATAATATACATATGTATGTATGTATGTATGTATGTAAATATATGCCTATGCAGAACCTTCTCACTTTTCAAATATTTTTAAGCGCATCTTCCACATGTTAACCGCCTATATGTGTACATTAATACATGTATGTATGTATATTTTTAGTTGTCAACCAGTTGAGCTCAACAAATGTTTTTTTTTAAGTACTTGAAATTTATTTTAATTGCACACCTTCTTCGGCAATTTAATGTTGTCCTTGACGCATGCACTTGTTTAAAGTAAACATTGAGGCATACAGGTAAAAGTACCATAACAGTACATATGTATGCATGTGTGTTTACTCATATTTATGTCTCATAGCAGTTCAGTAAAAGTAGTTTACGAAAATTATGCCCACAAATCATGGAAAATGCTTGAGACAGTATGTAATTTTCCACGGAATTCATAGACAAACTGCAGCAGAGCACAGGTGTTCTATTTCGCCAATTGATCACTGCTGCATATTTTGAGTATTTTCCGAATATACCAATACTATAATAAAAGCTATAATCGGGTGGTGTTAATAATTTTACATTCAATTTTTGAATTTTATATATTTTTTTTCACTCGGTAATTATTATTTTATTTTAAATAAACTAAATGCAATTCAATAAAATTCTATTACATTACATTTATTTTTAAATTAATTTAATTACATTTATTTTAGTTTTATTTCAATTCATTTTCTACTTTATTTTATTTTATTCATTGTATATTATTTTATACTTATTTAAATTATGTCATTTTATGATATTATATGTTGTTTTATTTTATTTTTTATTTCGATATATTATATTTTATTTTAGTTTATCTTATTTCTTTTATTTAATTTTATGTTAATTATTTATTTTTTTTTTATTAGATATAATTTATTAATTTGAGTTATTTAACTTATTTTATAATTTTAATTTTATAATATTTTCCTATTATTTTGAGTTTAATTGATATTAAATTTTTTATTTTTTTATTTTATAATATTTTGCTATTAGAATTATTTTAATATATTCAGGTTAATTTGATTTAATTTAATAAAAATTGATTTAATTTATTTTCGTTTTAATTTATATAATTATATTTAACTTTATTTTATTTTAAATTATAATATTTTAATTTATTTTGTTTATGTTTACATTATTTTTTTAAGTTAACTTAATTAATTTGTGTTATTTTATTTTACATTATTTTATTTTCATTTCTAGTTTACTTTAAATTAAAATTACATTATTTGATTTTGTTTTACTTTATTTTCTTTTATTTAATTTTGTTTTGTTTTATTTTATCTCATTTAATTTAGTTTAATTAATTTGTTTAATTTAATTAATTTGATATTTTTTTATTTTATTATATTTTGTTCAGCTTTAATTTTAATTCATTTTTATATTATTTTATTATATTCAGTTTTATTTAATTTAATTTATTTTAACTTGATTTAATTTAATTTCATATTAGCTTATGTTACAAGTATTATATTAACTTAATTCTATTTTAAATTATATTATTTAAGTTTATTTGTGAAAATTATTTTACCATATTTTTATTTTATTGTAATTTAATTTTTTTATATTATTTCACTTTAAATTATTTCATTTTTTAGTTTTTTCTATAACATTTAATTTAATTTAATTAATTTGTGTTAGTTTATTTTATATTACTTCATTTTCATTTTTAATATATTTTAATTTAATTTTATATAATTTGACTTTATATTTTTTTTTTAATTTTTTTTTTATTTTAGTTTTATCTACATATTTTGATTTATCTAAGTTTCGTTAATTTAAGTTGTTTTATCACTCATTTTATAAAATGATTTATTTGTAAAATTCAGGTAAAAAGTACACAAGAGTTCATAGGAAAAACTCAGTTAAACATTCGCTTCATAGTTACATTCAAAAGTGGAATTTTTCAAACACAATTTACTGTAATATTTTCATTAATTTAAACAAAAAATTTTTTAAAGCACTTTGCGAAGCGTACTTTGGTTGATTTCCATTTCTTTGCTGTAGCTTAAATTATTTAAACGTAAACTTATGTAAAATTATATCAAAGACTGTTACTTCAACTAAATTAATTAAATAAAATGTAAATAAATATCTATGCAATAAAAAAATTATATAAAATTTCCGTTATATTTTTTCTAAATTCGAATATTTTTTCCAGAGGCAACTTTTTGGAGTATTTTGCATTAAATATAAAAATAATATATTAAAAGAATAAAAAGATATTTATTGAATTTGGATAAAGTTTGAACCAAACACTTTTAGGAAGGAGAGAGCAGTAGAACAAATACAACAGTTACGGTGTAATAATATTGAATATTTGCGAATTTTCAAACATAAAAACAAATTAAAATCAAACAAATAACACGTTCACATGAAAATAATTATACTGATATTCTCTAAGCTAAGGCGAATTCAATGAATGAAATTAAATTCGTTTGATTATAGCCCGTCTGTTCTAATTCATTCAATAATTGCTCTAATTTTTACTGCTGCCTCAGAAAAATTTAACAGCTGCTTGCAGGCGGCTTAGAATAAACTGTAGGTCCTCCTTTTTGTTGAAAAAAAAAACATCCAGCAACATGCCGCCAATTGGATAAGGCAATCATTTATGTAGTATATATGAATGTTTATATGATACTAATATTTGACCAATTTTTTTATTGAAATAACTGTTTTTCCTATTTGTTATATAGACACATTAGAACAAAATTTTCAAATGAGTCTTTATCACTGTCGAAAAGATCATCGAATATTAATTTAATACATTTTTATTTGTTTGCTTTCACAAACCAGTGGCTGTCAAACTTTGTGTGAAGAAGTGCTGATGCTGGGAAAAAGGAGTTTGGTTGTTTGCAAACAAAGCTCACATACAATTAGTTATATTTGTAGTATAATTTAACAACATTTTTCTTGTTTGTTGTTTTGTATATTTCGAACAAATACTTGGCATGTCGCCTTTTGGGTATTATTAATATATCACAGTAAATAAATTGCTTAGAATAATTCTTGCCAACAGCAAAAATGTTTTTAAGTTTTAAATTAAATGAGACCAATAAATATAACAACATTTTAATTTATTTTGTAGGTTATTTAGAGACCGTCTTAAAAAAAGTATTCTGACCGTCTCAGTACCCTTCTGGATATCAATCACTACACTTATCGCCCTAATCGTATTTATTCCTTTATTCAGTTTCTGCAAATTAATATAAATTTTGAGGACTGTCGAGAATACATTAAAATGGAAAGGTGTGCTTAACTTGTCGGGACAATGCACGTATTTTAAAAACTGGTAAGGATAAAACTATTGATTGATAAAACTCAGTACTCTGTACTCATGATTTGAAAACGCGTATAAGTCGGTTCACAAAGATCCGTATGACAAGCTTTTCATTTATTGCCACCCATTAAATAAAATGTTATGAATATTGAGTTCAACATATCTGTTAAAAAAAATCATTGATAACTGGCACTCCATAAAGTACTATTTCGAAAGAAACTCAAAGTCTCTTTCGCATGGTTATCGTACAGCGATACATTTTCTTTAACTTTTTCAGGTTTTTCTGTTGTCTTCAAAATAGGATCCTTAAGTAAGCGATCTTGAGTAATCATTCTATACTCCGTACTATCTTCGGTCTTATGCCCTCTCACTGGTTTTGCTCATTATAACCTATTTGTATACAAATATTTTATATATATTCTTTTTAAATCGTTTTGTCGTAGTTTGTGTTTCACTTTACTTCCGAACTTTATAATCAGTTTTGCCAATAATTAATTTTTGATGGGTTGTCATGTAATTAAATAGAAAATATTTTTTAATTTAATCCATTATTATCATCTTGGTTGTATTAAATATTAATTGCCACTTTCTTTTAATTTTTTTGATATCACAATTGTTTGTTTATAAAAAGTTATGTTTTTCCTTAGTATTTACGGTCTAGTTTTTTACTTGTCATATTCACTAATTTCTTGTTCGTTTTAATCTACATTTTTTTTTTTTAATAATA